ACCATTGGAATTTCAGAAAAATTTTCCACCATTCCTAATTCACCTGCCAGCAGTACACTATAATTCCATTTTCAAAAAAGAAACTCAATGCACAACACAACAATATGCATACTGCCACTAACATATGTACTATCATTCCATTTGTAAGGAGCTAAGAGCTGTTTTCCTTTGCCTTACCAGTTTGCTCCACAAAAAAAGGTTATAACATCCACCATAAATTTAATTACATGCATAATATAAACAACATTCTCAAAATATGAAACTCCTCATGACTCTTGTACAACAACTACTACCACATGCAGTCATACCCAAAAAAACAAAATGGCATGTGGAAAACATATTTTACATACAGTCATAATTGGACATGGGAGCAAACTTAATCAGAAAGTTCGATAATATCTATGTACTGTGCTAGATCACCACTCGAGCAGGAGCCCAAACTTTCAATCAGCTTTTCTAGGGATACGTCGTCGAAAACCTCCATCATTTTGTCAAACAAAGGACATGGATCAATGCAATGTCTCATTGCAAACTAGTTTGCCTGCAAGTTAATAACTCTTACACTTAAAATGAATTCACTTAAATGTGAAAACAAATTAAATAAAGAGTTCATAAGATTATATTCATGAATATAGTTTTCACTTAAACACTTACCAGTAGGTAGTCATGCGCTCCAGCGATCGGCCCATCAATGACACATGAAGATGCTTAGTCCCACACAAACATCCTTGTCTTCAACATAGCTTTTATACTGAAGTATTGCTTCTTCCAAGAAAATATGATCTTCGCAAGATCAACTTGATCAATGCAAGTTACAGGTAGTCTCCTTTTCAGTTGGTGTAACAAATCCCTGAAGTGTGGAGCTGTCATTCTGCCTCGTTCAGGAACTATTTCCCGTTGTTTGTGTCGAAGAAACAACGTCATCAACACTTCACTTTCCACAGCACTAGTTTGAGGAACCGACATTTTCCTACATAATATTGTGCAAACCAAATGCACAAACCATTCACACAACACCAATTTATACAAATTCATTAAACAATACTACATCACAAGCTCAACACATATATATCAATTACAATAGAAAAATATTGTAATTTGTTACCCATATTCAGAATACATTCTGTAGTTAATATCAAAACGTAGGAGGTAACATTACAAACACTAACCATAAATAATGTCCAAAAGGTGTCAAACAATATACAAACATAGTTCAAGAGAGTCTACCCAGGAAAAAGTAAAGCAAATGGGTTATTACCATACCCAAAACAAACATCACAATATACATGAGATAGTTACCGACATTACGGTATCCCTCCACCTCGTAATTGTGCCCAACAACTTCCGGGGCTGCTAGAGGAATGTCCATTGCATCTTCCCCACGAACATTATTCGGAGGTTGATTTTCATGGATAGCCACTTCACATTCACGTTGGACATCTCTTACTACATCTTCATTGTCAATGTACGTGCGCAATGCATTTTCAGCCTCGTCGTACAAATCATAAGACTTGTACAACGTGCTCGGGTATCTATTCACTTGCACATGACATTCTTGCCATGTCGTATAGATACCAACTTATCTTCCAACAAAGACGACGTAAAAACTGGTTTTCCTGTTCATCACTTGTCTAACTACACACGGGTTAGTACATTTCTACGCAAGTGCATACCAATATAAAAAGCAAGTGGTAATAAAAATAGAATATCTTCATTATGCAAATACGGCTAAGTTGTTGAAACTTCATAATAAACATCAACCCAAAACATAGTTAAAACATATTTTACCCTTACTTACATTGGTGAACAATCAAAAAAAGTGGCTGATATATCATGTCACTTTATCAAGTCTTTATGACTAAGTTCACCTATTTCATGCTCCACCAACAAAAAGAATTACCATACCTAAACCTACTTATCTTTGGTAATTCGATCCGTACAACAACTTCCTTACCCAAGAAGACTTTAAAGCGTCAAACAAGCTAAAAAACAAGTCAACCTTAACAGGATCAGATGCATTTNTGATCTGAATGCACTGTTGAACCTGTCTCTCAGGTAAGTCACTCAGTCACACACACACAGACCAACATATCATAGAAAAAAAAACTCCTTCAAGCAATTGTTCACTATCCTCCAGGTAACACACACACACACAGACGAACATAGCCTTAAAAAATAAATAAATTTCATAGTAACATTTTTTACATTGTTACACGTGATCAGACTGCTCTATTGAACCTGTGTCCCAACTAACTCACTCACTCACTCACACACACACACAACACACATACGAACATGTCATACAACCAATATTACTAATTACTCTTCAAGCAATTGTTCACTGTCAGATGACAATTCCATTACCATTGGAATTTCAGAAAAATTTTCCACCATTCCTAATTCACCTGCCAGCAGTACACTATAATTCCATTTTCAAAAAAGAAACTCAATGCACAACACAACAATATGCATACTGCCACTAACATATGTACTATCATTCCATTTGTAAGGAGCTAAGAGCTGTTTTCCTTTGCCTTACCAGTTTGCTCCACAAAAAAAGGTTATAACATCCACCATAAATTTAATTACATGCATAATATAAACAACATTCTCAAAATATGAAACTCCTCATGACTCTTGTACAACAACTACTACCACATGCAGTCATACCCAAAAAAACAAAATGGCATGTGGAAAACATATTTTACATACAGTCATAATTGGACATGGGAGCAAACTTAATCAGAAAGTTCGATAATATCTATGTACTGTGCTAGATCACCACTCGAGCAGGAGCCCAAACTTTCAATCAGCTTTTCTAGGGATACGTCGTCGAAAACCTCCATCATTTTGTCAAACAAAGGACATGGATCAATGCAATGTCTCATTGCAAACTAGTTTGCCTGCAAGTTAATAACTCTTACACTTAAAATGAATTCACTTAAATGTGAAAACAAATTAAATAAAGAGTTCATAAGATTATATTCATGAATATAGTTTTCACTTAAACACTTACCAGTAGGTAGTCATGCGCTCCAGCGATCGGCCCATCAATGACACATGAAGATGCTTAGTCCCACACAAACATCCTTGTCTTCAACATAGCTTTTATACTGAAGTATTGCTTCTTCCAAGAAAATATGATCTTCGCAAGATCAACTTGATCAATGCAAGTTACAGGTAGTCTCCTTTTCAGTTGGTGTAACAAATCCCTGAAGTGTGGAGCTGTCATTCTGCCTCGTTCAGGAACTATTTCCCGTTGTTTGTGTCGAAGAAACAACGTCATCAACACTTCACTTTCCACAGCACTAGTTTGAGGAACCGACATTTTCCTACATAATATTGTGCAAACCAAATGCACAAACCATTCACACAACACCAATTTATACAAATTCATTAAACAATACTACATCACAAGCTCAACACATATATATCAATTACAATAGAAAAATATTGTAATTTGTTACCCATATTCAGAATACATTCCGTAGTTAATATCAAAACGTAGGAGGTAACATTACAAACACTAACCATAAATAATGTCCAAAAGGTGTCAAACAATATACAAACATAGTTCAAGAGAGTCTACCCAGGAAAAAGTAAAGCAAATGGGTTATTACCATACCCAAAACAAACATCACAATATACATGAGATAGTTACCGACATTACGGTATCCCTCCACCTCGTAATTGTGCCCAACAACTTCCGGGGCTGCTAGAGGAATGTCCATTGCATCTTCCCCACGAACATTATTCGGAGGTTGATTTTCATGGATAGCCACTTCACATTCACGTTGGACATCTCTTACTACATCTTCATTGTCAATGTACGTGCGCAATGCATTTTCAGCCTCGTCGTACAAATCATAAGACTTGTACAACGTGCTCGGGTATCTATTCACTTGCACATGACATTCTTGCCATGTCGTATAGATACCAACTTATCTTCCAACAAAGACGACGTAAAAACTGGTTTTCCTGTTCATCACTTGTCTAACTACACACGGGTTAGTACATTTCTACGCAAGTGCATACCAATATAAAAAGCAAGTGGTAATAAAAATAGAATATCTTCATTATGCAAATACGGCTAAGTTGTTGAAACTTCATAATAAACATCAACCCAAAACATAGTTAAAACATATTTTACCCTTACTTACATTGGTGAACAATCAAAAAAAGTGGCAGATATATCATGTCACTTTATCAAGTCTTTATGACTAAGTTCACCTATTTCATGCTCCACCAACAAAAAGAATTACCATACCTAAACCTACTTATCTTTGGTAATTCGATCCGTACAACAACTTCCTTACCCAAGAAGACTTTAAAGCGTCAAACAAGCTAAAAAACAAGTCAACCTTAACAGGATCAGATGCATTTTGTAACCAGCCTCAAATAGTAGATCCTCGTCAAGCCACCCAACTTTCTCAAGCTCAGTAAAGATTTTTCTCCTTGCCTCAAAAACATCTTGGGCATGGCCTACCCGCTGTGTAATATTATTAAGCTTACGACCACAAGTAGTAACATAATCACCTAATACCCTTGTCATATCACCCAAGCTACCTGAAATGACTTCGGCAGGTGTCGAAGCCTTTCTCTTCTTCATTTTTTTGGTGGTAGGGGTGTCTGTGGAAACATTCATACCTTGAGTAGTACTATTACTTGCGTCAACCCCATCATTTTCATAGTTAATGTCTGTCGGGTCAAGTTCATGGTTNCAAAAAAGAAACTCAATGCACAACACAACAATATGCATACTGCCACTAACATATGTACTATCATTCCATTTGTAAGGAGCTAAGAGCTGTTTTCCTTTGCCTTACCAGTTTGCTCCACAAAAAAAGGTTATAACATCCACCATAAATTTAATTACATGCATAATATAAACAACATTCTCAAAATATGAAACTCCTCATGACTCTTGTACAACAACTACTACCACATGCAGTCATACCCAAAAAAACAAAATGGCATGTGGAAAACATATTTTACATACAGTCATAATTGGACATGGGAGCAAACTTAATCAGAAAGTTCGATAATATCTATGTACTGTGCTAGATCACCACTCGAGCAGGAGCCCAAACTTTCAATCAGCTTTTCTAGGGATACGTCGTCGAAAACCTCCATCATTTTGTCAAACAAAGGACATGGATCAATGCAATGTCTCATTGCAAACTAGTTTGCCTGCAAGTTAATAACTCTTACACTTAAAATGAATTCACTTAAATGTGAAAACAAATTAAATAAAGAGTTCATAAGATTATATTCATGAATATAGTTTTCACTTAAACACTTACCAGTAGGTAGTCATGCGCTCCAGCGATCGGCCCATCAATGACACATGAAGATGCTTAGTCCCACACAAACATCCTTGTCTTCAACATAGCTTTTATACTGAAGTATTGCTTCTTCCAAGAAAATATGATCTTCGCAAGATCAACTTGATCAATGCAAGTTACAGGTAGTCTCCTTTTCAGTTGGTGTAACAAATCCCTGAAGTGTGGAGCTGTCATTCTGCCTCGTTCAGGAACTATTTCCCGTTGTTTGTGTCGAAGAAACAACGTCATCAACACTTCACTTTCCACAGCACTAGTTTGAGGAACCGACATTTTCCTACATAATATTGTGCAAACCAAATGCACAAACCATTCACACAACACCAATTTATACAAATTCATTAAACAATACTACATCACAAGCTCAACACATATATATCAATTACAATAGAAAAATATTGTAATTTGTTACCCATATTCAGAATACATTCTGTAGTTAATATCAAAACGTAGGAGGTAACATTACAAACACTAACCATAAATAATGTCCAAAAGGTGTCACACAATATACAAACATAGTTCAAGAGAGTCTACCCAGGAAAAAGTAAAGCAAATGGGTTATTACCATACCCAAAACAAACATCACAATATACATGAGATAGTTACCGACATTACGGTATCCCTCCACCTCGTAATTGTGCCCAACAACTTCCGGGGCTGCTAGAGGAATGTCCATTGCATCTTTCCCACGAACATTATTCGGAGGTTGATTTTCATGGATAGCCACTTCACATTCACGTTGGACATCTCTTACTACATCTTCATTGTCAATGTACGTGCGCAATGCATTTTCAGCCTCGTCGTACAAATCATAAGACTTGTACAACGTGCTCGGGTATCTATTCACTTGCACATGACATTCTTGCCATGTCGTATAGATACCAACTTATCTTCCAACAAAGACGACGTAAAAACTGGTTTTCCTGTTCATCACTTGTCTAACTACACACGGGTTAGTACATTTCTACGCAAGTGCATACCAATATAAAAAGCAAGTGGTAATAAAAATAGAATATCTTCATTATGCAAATACGGCTAAGTTGTTGAAACTTCATAATAAACATCAACCCAAAACATAGTTAAAACATATTTTACCCTTACTTACATTGGTGAACAATCAAAAAAAGTGGCTGATATATCATGTCACTTTATCAAGTCTTTATGACTAAGTTCACCTATTTCATGCTCCACCAACAAAAAGAATTACCATACCTAAACCTACTTATCTTTGGTAATTCGATCCGTACAACAACTTCCTTACCCAAGAAGACTTTAAAGCGTCAAACAAGCTAAAAAACAAGTCAACCTTAACAGGATCAGATGCATTTTGTAACCAGCCTCAAATAGTAGATCCTCGTCAAGCCACCCAACTTTCTCAAGCTCAGTAAAGATTTTTCTCCTTGCCTCAAAAACATCTTGGGCATGGCCTACCCGCTGTGTAATATTATTAAGCTTACGACCACAAGTAGTAACATAATCACCTAATACCCTTGTCATATCACCCAAGCTACCTGAAATGACTTCGGCAGGTGTCGAAGCCTTTCTCTTCTTCATTTTTTTGGTGGTAGGGGTGTCTGTGGAAACATTCATACCTTGAGTAGTACTATTACTTGCGTCAACCCCATCATTTTCATAGTTAATGTCTGTCGGGTCAAGTTCATGGTTTGCATTGTCATTGTCATTCCCTCCAACCATTTCATCAACATCCTTAGCAAATTCTCCAGTTGAGTGATCCTTGTCAAAAATAATTCCCCAATCTTCGTAGTATGACCAACATTTTTCACGCATCCCCTTAGCCTGCTTATCTTTCTACAACAATTATTCCATGAAAGAACATGCCTCGAATAAGTGGAANTAAATTTAATTACATGCATAATATAAACAACATTCTCAAAATATGAAACTCCTCATGACTCTTGTACAACAACTACTACCACATGCAGTCATACCCAAAAAAACAAAATGGCATGTGGAAAACATATTTTACATACAGTCATAATTGGACATGGGAGCAAACTTAATCAGAAAGTTCGATAATATCTATGTACTGTGCTAGATCACCACTCGAGCAAGAGCCCAAACTTTCAATCAGCTTTTCTAGGGATACGTCGTCGAAAACCTCCATCATTTTGTCAAACAAAGGACATGGATCAATGCAATGTCTCATTGCAAACTAGTTTGCCTGCAAGTTAATAACTCTTACACTTAAAATGAATTCACTTAAATGTGAAAACAAATTAAATAAAGAGTTCATAAGATTATATTCATGAATATAGTTTTCACTTAAACACTTACCAGTAGGTAGTCATGCGCTCCAGCGATCGGCCCATCAATGACACATGAAGATGCTTAGTCCCACACAAACATCCTTGTCTTCAACATAGCTTTTATACTGAAGTATTGCTTCTTCCAAGAAAATATGATCTTCGCAAGATCAACTTGATCAATGCAAGTTACAGGTAGTCTCCTTTTCAGTTGGTGTAACAAATCCCTGAAGTGTGGAGCTGTCATTCTGCCTCGTTCAGGAACTATTTCCCGTTGTTTGTGTCGAAGAAACAACGTCATCAACACTTCACTTTCCACAGCACTAGTTTGAGGAACCGACATTTTCCTACATAATATTGTGCAAACCAAATGCACAAACCATTCACACAACACCAATTTATACAAATTCATTAAACAATACTACATCACAAGCTCAACACATATATATCAATTACAATAGAAAAATATTGTAATTTGTTACCCATATTCAGAATACATTCTGTAGTTAATATCAAAACGTAGGAGGTAACATTACAAACACTAACCATAAATAATGTCCAAAAGGTGTCACACAATATACAAACATAGTTCAAGAGAGTCTACCCAGGAAAAAGTAAAGCAAATGGGTTATTACCATACCCAAAACAAACATCACAATATACATGAGATAGTTACCGACATTACGGTATCCCTCCACCTCGTAATTGTGCCCAACAACTTCCGGGGCTGCTAGAGGAATGTCCATTGCATCTTTCCCACGAACATTATTCGGAGGTTGATTTTCATGGATAGCCACTTCACATTCACGTTGGACATCTCTTACTACATCTTCATTGTCAATGTACGTGCGCAATGCATTTTCAGCCTCGTCGTACAAATCATAAGACTTGTACAACGTGCTCGGGTATCTATTCACTTGCACATGACATTCTTGCCATGTCGTATAGATACCAACTTATCTTCCAACAAAGACGACGTAAAAACTGGTTTTCCTGTTCATCACTTGTCTAACTACACACGGGTTAGTACATTTCTACGCAAGTGCATACCAATATAAAAAGCAAGTGGTAATAAAAATAGAATATCTTCATTATGCAAATACGGCTAAGTTGTTGAAACTTCATAATAAACATCAACCCAAAACATAGTTAAAACATATTTTACCCTTACTTACATTGGTGAACAATCAAAAAAAGTGGCTGATATATCATGTCACTTTATCAAGTCTTTATGACTAAGTTCACCTATTTCATGCTCCACCAACAAAAAGAATTACCATACCTAAACCTACTTATCTTTGGTAATTCGATCCGTACAACAACTTCCTTACCCAAGAAGACTTTAAAGCGTCAAACAAGCTAAAAAACAAGTCAACCTTAACAGGATCAGATGCATTTTGTAACCAGCCTCAAATAGTAGATCCTCGTCAAGCCACCCAACTTTCTCAAGCTCAGTAAAGATTTTTCTCCTTGCCTCAAAAACATCTTGGGCATGGCCTACCCGCTGTGTAATATTATTAAGCTTACGACCACAAGTAGTAACATAATCACCTAATACCCTTGTCATATCACCCAAGCTACCTGAAATGACTTCGGCAGGTGTCGAAGCCTTTCTCTTCTTCATTTTTTTGGTGGTAGGGGTGTCTGTGGAAACATTCATACCTTGAGTAGTACTATTACTTGCGTCAACCCCATCATTTTCATAGTTAATGTCTGTCGGGTCAAGTTCATGGTTTGCATTGTCATTGTCATTCCCTCCAACCATTTCATCAACATCCTTAGCAAATTCTCCAGTTGAGTGATCCTTGTCAAAAATAATTCCCCAATCTTCGTAGTATGGCCAACATTTTTCACGCATCCCCTTAGCCTGCTTATCTTTCTACAACAATTATTCCATGAAAGAACATGCCTCGAATAAGTGGAATGGAGTAATACAAAATAACAAAAGACCTATATTAAGTAAAAACTGGTATATTAGACCAAATTACCTTTAAATACTCCTGCCAAACATCATCAAAATCAACTTCGATTTTGTTATCGGTGTCATTAAACCCGAAACCACTCATATTCATCATAGATAGTATACAATTGTATTGCCTCTTCCACATTTTTATCTTTGATTCAATGTGGGGTTGTCCACGAAGCATACTGCTGCCAATTCTATTTTCTAGCATTTGCAAATAATTGGGCCTAAATGTACCATTAGGACACTTCAGCTCTGCTGCACATAGATCCTTCAGTGCGTCTATTAGTTGTGTCTCTTCCACACTTGTCCAAATTCGTCGNCATAAGATTATATTCATGAATATAGTTTTCACTTAAACACTTACCAGTAGGTAGTCATGCGCTCCAGCGATCGACCCATCAATGACACATGAAGATGCTTAGTCCCACACAAACATCCTTGTCTTCAACATAGCTTTTATACTGAAGTATTGCTTCTTCCAAGAAAATATGATCTTCGCAAGATCAACTTGATCAATGCAAGTTACAGGTAGTCTCCTTTTCAGTTGGTGTAACAAATCCCTGAAGTGTGGAGCTGTCATTCTGCCTCGTTCAGGAACTATTTCCCGTTGTTTGTGTCGAAGAAACAACGTCATCAACACTTCACTTTCCACAGCACTAGTTTGAGGAACCGACATTTTCCTACATAATATTGTGCAAACCAAATGCACAAACCATTCACACAACACCAATTTATACAAATTCATTAAACAATACTACATCACAAGCTCAACACATATATATCAATTACAATAGAAAAATATTGTAATTTGTTACCCATATTCAGAATACATTCTGTAGTTAATATCAAAACGTAGGAGGTAACATTACAAACACTAACCATAAATAATGTCCAAAAGGTGTCACACAATATACAAACATAGTTCAAGAGAGTCTACCCAGGAAAAAGTAAAGCAAATGGGTTATTACCATACCCAAAACAAACATCACAATATACATGAGATAGTTACCGACATTACGGTATCCCTCCACCTCGTAATTGTGCCCAACAACTTCCGGGGCTGCTAGAGGAATGTCCATTGCATCTTTCCCACGAACATTATTCGGAGGTTGATTTTCATGGATAGCCACTTCACATTCACGTTGGACATCTCTTACTACATCTTCATTGTCAATGTACGTGCGCAATGCATTTTCAGCCTCGTCGTACAAATCATAAGACTTGTACAACGTGCTCGGGTATCTATTCACTTGCACATGACATTCTTGCCATGTCGTATAGATACCAACTTATCTTCCAACAAAGACGACGTAAAAACTGGTTTTCCTGTTCATCACTTGTCTAACTACACACGGGTTAGTACATTTCTACGCAAGTGCATACCAATATAAAAAGCAAGTGGTAATAAAAATAGAATATCTTCATTATGCAAATACGGCTAAGTTGTTGAAACTTCATAATAAACATCAACCCAAAACATAGTTAAAACATATTTTACCCTTACTTACATTGGTGAACAATCAAAAAAAGTGGCTGATATATCATGTCACTTTATCAAGTCTTTATGACTAAGTTCACCTATTTCATGCTCCACCAACAAAAAGAATTACCATACCTAAACCTACTTATCTTTGGTAATTCGATCCGTACAACAACTTCCTTACCCAAGAAGACTTTAAAGCGTCAAACAAGCTAAAAAACAAGTCAACCTTAACAGGATCAGATGCATTTTGTAACCAGCCTCAAATAGTAGATCCTCGTCAAGCCACCCAACTTTCTCAAGCTCAGTAAAGATTTTTCTCCTTGCCTCAAAAACATCTTGGGCATGGCCTACCCGCTGTGTAATATTATTAAGCTTACGACCACAAGTAGTAACATAATCACCTAATACCCTTGTCATATCACCCAAGCTACCTGAAATGACTTCGGCAGGTGTCGAAGCCTTTCTCTTCTTCATTTTTTTGGTGGTAGGGGTGTCTGTGGAAACATTCATACCTTGAGTAGTACTATTACTTGCGTCAACCCCATCATTTTCATAGTTAATGTCTGTCGGGTCAAGTTCATGGTTTGCATTGTCATTGTCATTCCCTCCAACCATTTCATCAACATCCTTAGCAAATTCTCCAGTTGAGTGATCCTTGTCAAAAATAATTCCCCAATCTTCGTAGTATGGCCAACATTTTTCACGCATCCCCTTAGCCTGCTTATCTTTCTACAACAATTATTCCATGAAAGAACATGCCTCGAATAAGTGGAATGGAGTAATACAAAATAACAAAAGACCTATATTAAGTAAAAACTGGTATATTAGACCAAATTACCTTTAAATACTCCTGCCAAACATCATCAAAATCAACTTCGATTTTGTTATCGGTGTCATTAAACCCGAAACCACTCATATTCATCATAGATAGTATACAATTGTATTGCCTCTTCCACATTTTTATCTTTGATTCAATGTGGGGTTGTCCACGAAGCATACTGCTGCCAATTCTATTTTCTAGCATTTGCAAATAATTGGGCCTAAATGTACCATTAGGACACTTCAGCCTTGCTGCACATAGATCCTTCAGTGCGTCTATTAGTTGTGTCTCTTCCACACTTGTCCAAATTCGTCGGGTACTTTTTTCAAGTTGAATCCCACTCATACCATGAGAGCTGCCAACACTAACCATATTCTATGCATATATATACAATACATACACACATCTATTTATCAGTCTACAGCCAATATGCAATATAAAATGAATTACAATACGACAAATGTATAATATATTGCACAATACTATACCACCAAATAAATTGTTTTACATCCATTAAGCAAACTAGACAACGTAGCAACAACATATATTAAAACATAACATCCATTGAGTTTACTAATTAAAGGTTGAAAAAATAACCACTTCCGCCCCCCTATATCTCAACAAAATCAGCTACCCATTTGCCATGCCGCATACATTTCATTCGCCAACTGAGTCCTCCAAGCAGTCTATGCAGTAGACGTCTCAACACTGTCAACTACATTAGTGTTTGTATTGTCATCAATATCATTAAGAACATACTCATGTATGTGGTCTTCTAATGGGTCAAATGGCATCTCATTTCTAATGAAATTATGTAAAAGACAACAAGCAAAAATAATTCTGTTATGTGTGGGGATTGGGTAAAAACACGCAGTTCGAAGGATTGCCCATCGCATCTTGAGGAGAGCAAAACACCTCTCAATAACATTTCGGGCAGATGAATGTTTAAGGTTAAAATATTTCGAGGCATTACGAGGAGCTTCCCTTCCACTTCCAAATTCGTCAAGATGGTATCGTTGACCCCTAAATGGAGCTAAGAAACCATCACCATTGGTGCACCCAGCATCACATAAATAATATGTGCCTATCATAATTGTGTATACACCAATTACAATTCCAAAAAAATACTAATGCTATAAATTTCCACCATAGCTTACCTCGTTCAACACCTAACCAAGTACGCCTTGTAACTGCATCTTGAAGGACTCGTGAATCTACCGCTGATCCCTTCCAACCAGGCAAAACATATATGATTCTCATGTCAGGTGCACATACACCTAACACATTTGTGGCAATTTGACCCTTCCTTGTCCTATATCTTGCTTGGTGGACAAGTGGCACTTTTGCTCTAATGTGAGTCCCATCTAAAGCCCCAACACAGTTCTAGGCAATATGAAATAAAAATATTATCAATTCATATGTAGATATCTACATACTACGTGACGTGAAAACTCAAAATGTGGAAATACCTTTACAAAATTCAGAATACCTTAAAAAACTTCCACTTAGGGTCAGTGCATTCTTCTGTAATTGGAGTAGGGACTACAAGCAGTAATCGGCGTAGCCTAAGAACCGCCAACAACATTGCATTGAAATACTTGCTAATCATCTCACCTGATCTAATGAAACTGAATTACTGGTCTATTCTTAGTATTATGACTAATAATACTCAAGAACATAGCTACCATCTCCTCAATGCTAACATTCCTTGTACGAGTCAGCCCATCAACCTATTCAACTAGTGTACACAAAATAGAAAAACTTCGTCGATCCATCCTAAGTTGATTGTAGCATGTGATATCACTTTCACCTATCAGTCTAGTGAGATGCTCTATTTGTAGTTGGGTTCGCGTGACTGAGCTTGGAATAATATTGTTGTTTTGATTTTCTAGAAATTCCACCAAATTTTCAATCACAACAATAAGACAGGAGCATATCATAACCATATCAGAGAAGACACTATCCAAAACAACCACCACTGGCACACTGAAATCATTGTCTTCATCCATAACAACTGCCACTCACACAAACATTCTGGACATTAAAACATGGGATATAAGATGGATAGGTCCAAATTCCACACCAATTATGAAAAACAAACTCAAACAAAAGACCTGATCTATTAACAAAAATTGATTTTAACATTTATTTTTCAATTTTACCCTTGCAGAATCACTTAATACCAATTTTATCCATCATTCATTAACAACCAATGTACCTTATTTGATTGGAGTATATTAGCTAATACTAAATTTAAGAAGTGAAATTGGGCAGATGAAAAAATATCAGTTACTGAGCAATTATATGAATGAAAAAAAAATGTTAAAATAAGTTGCTAACAATTATGATAATAAATACGACGTTAATTTACCACATCATGAATAAAAATTTTGAAAATATAACAATTCTAATTTACTCACAATAACTTTTATATTTGAATCAAGATGTTGTCTAATTAGATAAATGTCTGAAAAAATTATATTCCTGATTTCCCGAGGAGTTTTCTTTTTCTTTTGATTTATAACTATGAATGATCATTACCATTTAAGTTTCCATTGTGGACATTACACTATTACCTTATCATTATGGAAAACAAAGGAGATTTTTGACCGCCTTATATCAGGGAAATACGACATTATTTAACTGTTGGTTTTTCGGTCTCTTACCAAAAACTAAATAAGATTGTTTGCGATTGAGTTAAATGGTCTCCACTGAATGTTGCATTCATCCAATTTGTTTATACATGATATACTTTTGGCTTTTTTTTCAGTGGTTATCTTTTTGAGTTTTTTTCGGTCATCAACATTCTCAAAAAAAAAAAAATTACAAAAATCAGTGACCATTCCCCCTTTAAAATAAGTACAAAAATTGTTGTAGAAATCATAGCTGCATATATATGACAGAACAAACACAGATCTTAACGAATGTACCTGTTTGTCGTTTGCAGAAAAAGGGGTTTAGCAGCGTGAAGATCTGCTTAGGGAGATACTAGCGTCAAGATCTGCGAAGGGAGATGAACGATGGTTCAGCGTCTTTAGGGAGCAGAGTGACTGTTCAGCGAATTCAGGGAGGTGAAGGATGGTTCATCGTCTTCATATTTGGTTGACTGATTGTTCAGCTTCTTCAGGTAGGCGAAGGGGTTTGTTGGGGGAGGCAATTGATCGAGTGGCTAGGGTTTGTTGGGAGAAACTCGGGTTTTATATGGGCCATTGTAGATGAGGGCATTTGAGTCTTTTCATCATATAATACCTCCATGAAATTTGTACCGAAATATTATACGACCGGGTAGGTGGTATTCAATAGCACCTTATAGGAGGCATTATTTGCACTGTTCATTCCGGGTCAGTATTATGACCCAAAAAATAGTACCTACTAAAAAATGCAAAACAAACATGGTATAACGTAGGGTCCACGTACTATTTTCCTTATACCACCCTCTTATACCACCCTTATACCTCAAACAAACAGCCCCTAGGAGGATGAACAGGGTCACTATCAAGAACAAGTACCAGTTGCTGAGGATAGATGACTTGTTTGATCAGCTTAAGGGTTCGAGATATTTCTCAAAGATTGATCTTAGATCGGGGTATCATCAGTTGAGAGTACGGAAGGAGGATGTGGCGAAGACAATTTTTTGCACTCGTTATGGCCATTATGAGTTCTTGGTTATGCCATTCGGTGTGACGAATGCCCCGATGACATTCATGGACTTGATGCATCTCATTTTTAGTCCTTATTTAGATCAGTTTGTTGTGGTTTTTGTTGATGATATTTTGATTTATTCACCTTCTGAGGATGAGCATGCCTTTCACCTACGAACCGTGTTACAGATTTTGAGGAAACACTATTTATTTGCTAAATTCTCAAAGTGTGAGTTTTGGCTTCAAGAGGTGTAGTTTCTAGGCCACGTTGTGTCAGGTAGTGGGGTATCTGTGGACC